TAATAGGCCACACCTAACAGCAGACAATCCTTAGGATTGGCTACATTAGGGGTGTGTGGCCTAACATGCAAAGGAGTTCCTGCTACAAAAAAAGCCCAGGGTTTTGACAACAAAGTAAACAGAATAAGAAGCAAAAGGTGGGTGTGGTTGGATGAACACACTTCTGGTAACATGTGGGGTGTGGCCTAATATGCTAATGAGCTGTGCCGTCAGGGGTGTGGCCTAATATGCTAATGGTTTCTGCTGTTGAGTGTGGCCTATTATGCTAATGAGTTCCTGCTGGGCTTTTTCTACAAAAAAAGCCCTGGTTATGTACCTTCCAGTTTAGGTCCTAAGAGTGCAAATAGAATTGCCTTGTCAGGAACAGTGTGCCATCAATATGTGCCATCAACCTTGCCACGGTCCTTGACTGTATGCTAACCACCTTCTCCCCCGCCCCCTCCGGCTTCCCTTTTGCGTCCCGTTGTGCAGCCTCACTAATCCGTGGGAACCGTTCCAACTGCGCCCTCTTCTCCAACAATCTGGATTGGCTGGTCAGCAAGCTGGACCGGCTGGAGGCGTCCTCTGGTAAGTGGAGGGGATATTGGGGGGGGTGTTGCACGTACACATGAAGCTGCCTTATACTGAAATAGACCATCGGTCTGTCAAGCTGCGGTGGCTCAAGTGGATAAGACGCTGAACTGCAGGCCGGAAGGTCTGTAGCTCAGCAGTTCAAGACCCGGGTGCCACGCGACGGAGTGAGCTCCCGTCTCTGGTTCCAGCTCCTGCCAACCTAGCAGATTGAAAGCAAGAAATTGCAAGTAGATAAATAGGTGCCACTTCGGTGGGAAGGGAACAGCGTTCCGTGCGCCTCGGCGTTTAGTCATGCCAGCCACATGACCACGGAAATGTCTTTGGACAGCGCTGGCTCTTTGTCTTGGAAATGAAGATGAGCACCGCAACCCGAAAGTCGGATTTGGCTGGCTTTCGAGCAAGGGAAACCTTTACCTTGACTGTCAAGACAGTGTTCTCTACTCAGACTGGCAGCGGCTCTTCGGAGTCTCAAGCAGAGTTCCCATCACCTCCTGCCTGGTCCTTCTAACTGGAGATGCTGCTGGGGACTGAACCTGGGACCTTCTGCCTGCCAAGCAGATGCTCTTCCACTGAGCCACAGCTCCTCTTTACAGCTCTCCAGGGTCTCAGGCTGAGGTCTTTCCCATCACCTCCTGCATGGTCCTTTTAACTGGAGATGCCGGGGATTGAACATGGGACCTTCTGCGTGCCGAGCGGATGCTCTACCGCTGTGCCACAGCTCCAATGTGCTGTTGATTGTTGCTAGAATGTAGCTCTAAAAAGAAGGGGTTGATGAGCAGTGGATTCCGGACGGACAAACGAATGTACCGCTTCTCGCAGCGCATGTGCAGCTGTGGAACTTACTGCCACGAGACAATCACTTACTTGACAAGAGGATTGGGCAAAATCATCAAGGAAGGGTCTCTCAATGATTATTCTCGAATTTCTTTATCCCTCTTCCTTTTTCGTCCGCCTTCTTCCTTGAGGCTCAAGGAGGCTTACAGAATTATAAAACAAAGTAATAAAGACCAGTGTAATATATACTGGATTAAGCAATAAGAGAGCAATACACTGGATTAGGCAATTAGAGAACAATGGGCATAAATTCAGGTGGGTCGCCGCGTTGGTCTGAAGCAGCCGTACGAAGTTTGACTCCCGGGGCACTTTTAAAACCAACAACGTTTTATT